TTTATTTTATTAATGTTAATATTTAAATTTGAAAATTAATTATATTTTAATATAATTAGTTTTCAAATCTAAATATCTATATTTAGTAAGGTAGGTTTTTGAATTATTAATTTTAAATTGGGATCTTGATTTTTAAATATAGGTTAGGATTTTGATTGATACGCATTAATCTCATATTAATATATATAATTAATTTTTAAATTTAGATATTAATATTTAATATGATAAATTTTTAAATTTTGAATTAAAATTTTAATTTTTAAATATAATTTATCAAAATTGATATACACTAACATTTTATTTTATTTTATTAACTTTAAATAAAATTTTCAGCCTAATATTAAGAGATTTAAAAAAGTTTTCTAACAAGTTACGGTAAAATCCCTTTAACTCCATGTTGTGCCCCCACGTCATAGACAAAAACGAAAAATACAAAAGACCGTTTCTTATTGAAAATATTATATATTATTTAGTAAACTGTGCTATTATTTTAATTCTATATATACCATACAATAGGTTTTAATGATTATAGGTTTTAATTAAAGTAATTTAATTTGAATATACACTAATTTGAGGAATATTTTCTTGTTTGGAACTACCTTGAAACTTCAAGCTTTCTAATGCTTCGACATTTTAAAACTTCGAGGCTAAGTTTACAATAGTGGGAAAGAATGATGCGGAATCTAAAAGAAATGAAAATCACAAAATGGGTTTCAACTTTCAAAATTAATTTGCATTCAAAGATTTGCTTCTTTTACAAGTTAGACCTTTATTTTAATTAGGATTTTACTTTTTTAAGGCTTCAAAGCAAATAAATGCTTTCTCAAGATATCTTTTCTATTTATTCTAAACTTAGTATGCAAGTATCTTATTAGTTTTTAAATTTATTTTTAATTGAATGTCTTTTCTTTCTTTTTTTTATTAGAGTTTATGTCTTCTATAAAATATTATTATTATAAGATCAAACAAGTATGAAAGCTTTCAATAATATTTTGAATGAAAAATCCTTTATTTATACTCTCATATTATTCTCATAGACTTAGGGAAACATTAAAGCGATTCTCAGCAATGATACAGTAAAGAAGCATGATGCCTTTATGCCAAGTGTGATGAATACTGCACTTGGGAATGAGCTGAGTGAGGTTTTATGTTTAATTGTTTGCTTAATTAGCTAATAATGGAAAAAGAAAAACAGTAAAAGAAAAGGAGCAAGGAAAAGAGAAAGGGCAAATGAGAAAGAAAATGGAATAAAGGAAAGGAGAAGCAAGAGAGTTTAATTTGACGCAATTCCCTTTTGTCACACACTTACAACAGTGGTGTAAGTGGTTTTTCAAAGTTTGTAAATAGGGTGTTGCTCCTTGCTTTAATGGATACCTCATCCTCACCTGAAGCTAGCTAACTAGTTTTCAACAACTTATATTTCCCATCTCACTTGCTATTGTCTCACATATCTGCATTCTGATATATATATACAGAGAGAGAGCGGATGGAGCCCAAAAACTTTCTTCATGAACATCCACTGCATTTCTTTGAAGAGTGGAGCAATGTCCACAGTGAGACTAGTAGTGTTAATTGCTCATCAGGATGTGGGCAGCCAATCTCAACTCAGTTCTATGCATGCATCGACTGTAAGTTTTTCCTTCATAAATCATGTTCTGAGCTACCATTGAACATCACTCACCCCTTCCATGATAAACATCCTCTCATTCTTCTATCTGATTCACCATACGAAAGTGGGCCTGCAGTTTGTAATTTTTGTGACAGGGACGTTGATGGATTTGTTTACCACTGTTCTTCTTGTCAATTTGACCTTGACATCAAATGTGCCTTGCTCCCAGAATTCCTCAATGGAGAGTTTCCAAAAGTTGATCATCACTTTCATGTTGAACACCCATTCTTCTTCATCGAAAATCTTAGCCATGAAGTTGAACTAGATTCTTCCCGCCATTGCAGCGTTTGCTTCGAACAGTTATCATCTGATTCTTCCTTTTACACTTGTCTTGCTTGTGAGCTTTTCCTTCATAAATCATGTTCTGAGACTGAGCTACCATTGAACATCAATCACCCTTTCCATGACAAGCACACTCTTACTCTTACTCTTGTTAAAGTGGATAGAGTAGTACGTTGTCAATTTTGTCAGGAGAGTTTTTATTCTGCAGGATTGTTGTACCATTGTTCTTCTTGTAATTTCAACCTTGACATCAAATGTGCCTTGCTCCCAGAATTCCTCAATGGAGAGTTTCCAAAAGTTGATCATCACTTTCATGTTGAACATCCACTCTTCTTCATCGAAAATCTTGGCCATGAAGTTGAACTAGATTTTTCCCACCATTGTAGTGTTTGCTTTGAACAGTTATCATCTGATTCTTCCTTTTACACTTGTCTTGCTTGTGAGCTTTTCCTTCATAAATCATGTTCTGAGACTGAGCTACCATTGAACATCAATCACCCTTTCCATGAGAAGCACACTCTGGCTCTTACTCTTGTTAAAGTGGATGGAGTAGTACGTTGTCAATTTTGTCAGGAGAGTTTTTATTCTGCAGGATTGTTGTACCATTGTTCTTCTTGTAATTTCGACCTTGACATCAAATGTGCCTTGCTCCCAGAATTCCTCAATGGAGATTTTCCAAAAGTTGATCATCACATTCATGTTGAACACCCACTCTTCTTCATCCAAAAGAACCTTATTAGCGACGGCTATAAGGTTGAACTACGTTCTCATTGCTTTGTTTGCCCAGACTCATTATCTGGTAGTTCTTTTTATTACTGCCCAGAATGTCAACTTTTCCTTCATAAATCGTGTGCATTTGAAGAGGGGCCTTTGAAAATTAATCATTCTTTCCATGATGAACATGCTCTTACTCTCAAAAAAGGCAGCCCCTCTTGGTGGTCTAGACCAGCATGTAACTTTTGTCTTAATGTTATCAAGGAATTTAGGTACAGCTGTTCTTCTTGTGAGTTCCATCTTGACGACCGATGTGCTTTGCACATCACCAAAGATCTCCCCAAACGTGATCATCGTTTTAGCCATGATCACCCACTCGCCTTTGTCCAAATTCTTAGCGACGAAGTTAAAATAAATGCTTCCTGCTCTGTTTGCTCAAAACCATTATTGGGCACTTCTTTTTACAATTGTCCTGATTGTAGAATTTTCCTTCACAAAGAATGTGAGGCAGAGTTGTGGGCTAAGATTGAGCATGTTGCCCACCCTGAACACCCTCTTAGTCTTGTATTTTCAGCGCATTACACCTGCAACTTTTGCCAAGAAGATAAACGGGATGTGAAGAAAATTGGATATAAATGCCCCTCTTGTGCCTTTTATATTCATCATGAGTGTACCTTACCCAGGTTCTTCCCAAAAAGTAAGATCCATGACCACCAGTTGAGCCCATTCATGAGGAAAAATCCCTTCATTTGCGATGCATGTGGGGGGGCAGGAGATAACGCTCGCTATTTTTGTTTAAAGTGCAGCATCATGATCCATCGGGATTGTATTTTCCTGCCAAAACTCATCAAATTCAAACTGCACAATCATCATATACTCGGCCACAACTACAGGTTTCCACAAAAAGTGGGTGAAAAATGGACCTGTCAATTTTGTTTCAAAAAGGTGGTGGCAGAGTATGGGAGTTACAAATGTTTGCACTCAGATTGTACTTATGTTCTTCATGGGAGTTGCGTAAAAAAGAATGAAGGTCGTCTTTATATCGAAGTTGAGTCAGAGAATGAGGAAAGTGATGATGAGGCTTCTTCTTCTTCAAGTTGTGCTGTGGCGCTAGGAGACAAGATAGATCATTTCAGCCACGAGCATGAATTAGTGCTTGATAAGGAGGAGATTATTATGAATGGTGATAAAAAATGTTGCGATGGGTGTGCATTACCGATCTTGGAGGCCGCTTATAGTTGTCCACAACCAGAGTGTAATTTCTCCCTTCACAAGGCATGTGCCCAAATTGGAGAGGACAAACCACATTGGGCTTCTCGAGATCCTGTTCCAGTTATCATGGAGTCCCATTTTGAGTGTCGATTTTGTAAGTATGACTGCAGCGGTTTTCGTTCCATCTGGAAAGGAGTTGATGGTAATAGGAGGAAAATTTGCCACAGATGTAGTGAGATCGATTTCATCACTAAGCATGAAGCACATGATCAGCACTTCCTCTTCTGTGATGAAGATCACAAGGGACCATGTAGTGGCTGCGGTGAGGAAATGGGTGAATATGGTGGTTACAGATGCACGCTGGCAGAGGAAGAGGAGAATTGCAAATTTTTTGCCTTGGACTACAGATGCATGACACGGCCCCTTACAGCTGAACATAGGTTCCACCATCACCCTCTAAAACTCATTTATGAAGATCCTTACAAGGATGATGATGGTGATCCATTTCAACACATGTGTGAAATCTGTGAAGATAGAAGAGATCCAAAGCTCTGGTTTTATCGGTGTGATGAGTGCGATTTTGATGCTCATCCCGATTGCGTTCTTGGAGATTACCCATTCATCAAGCGCGGGAGCATTTATTATTATTATATTATATGTGATTCTCATCAAGAACCTCTCAGGTATTTCCAGAGTGAGAAATATCCCTATCCGAAATGTCATTGGTGTGGCGATCCTTGCAAAGATCAGCTGGCTCTTAATTGTCCCCACTCTGATTGCCCCTTTGCCTTACATTTGAAGTGTCGCGATTTATATGATTCTGCAAGTATTGAAGACGTTTTGATGGTATCGACTCGATGGGATTAACTGACCCAAAACGGCAAGTGTTGAAGACGTTTTGATGATACATGCTTCCGCTGTTCTGCATTCCTCTACCATAGAAAAACTGCAAGAACCATCCCCATGATTGCTCGATCAGTTGCTGCTTCCGCGAACGATTTCCTGCTTAGGTTTGTGCCCATCATTTGCTGGGTTTGCTTTCTGAAAATAACATGTAAGGAATTGCTAGCTATTTCCGCTCAGAATTTGCAGGGTTGCTTCTCAATTGTTTTCGTCTTCTTTTTTTTTTTTTATTTACATAACGCAGATTTCGCCACTGGCAATGAAGATTTTGTGCTTGATTAATTCCATGGTCTGTGACTCTAATTTAAGGCTCATACCAGACCAAAACGATGGAGAAGAGGAAATTCACACAAAGGGATGCCTTTACTATTCTTCTGCTATAAAATCCAACTTGAAGAATCCCACTGACGTTGGCAATCTCATGCGTTTTGGAGGAGCGGGCTCTGAAGCGAGCATCCATCTCCATTTGGATCATTGATGTCCAAGCCGAGGGTGCTCTCATTCACAGGAATGAAGGTGGCGCCTTTCTCATGCACACCAACTGTTCGACTTGTGGCCCGTGTGAGTTGCAATGGTTTTATTAGTAGGAATATATACTGGGAATTAGGATAGTTGGTTTAAGATTATGTTGCAATCTCATGAGAAGGATTTTTTTACATAATTTATAGTTCTCAGCTAACAATAATTTAATTTAGTTTGTAAATTTGATTCCCTTCTAAATGAATTCTTCCTATGTATGCAGTGAGTTAGGTATGAGGAGTTAGGACTGTGTGCTACTCCCATTATAAATTTCATTTACCGGTTTTCATATGAAAATCCGTGGTCAAATTTACCAAGCAAAAAATCAAGGGAAACCAAAGAATACATGAACACCATGGAAAAAGCACTGGGTGGCAGGTAATTAGATTTGGGATTTAATGGATTTAATTCCAGATTTGGGTCAAATTTACCAAGCAAAAAATCTGTTTTGACTTTAATTTAAAACCTGTGAGATTGCACATTTGTTCAAGTAGCATAACCACCTCTTTTCATGACCCTGGTAGCAAATCTAAGATGAGTTAAATGTTGCTACTAAGTTTTGTTTTTATTTTTTGTATATAGAGACAAAAACCTAATTTAATTTTTAATCTTTTGATATTTTCTTAGTGATATGAGCTTGAATTGCCATAGTTAAAGTGTTGAGAATTTGGATTATTAAATTCTGAAGAGAATAGATGATTATAAAGCAATTTTACTAATCATCCCTATTGTCTCAGGTCAAGTTTTTAATTATAAATTGGTAACCATTTGATAACCTTAGTCACATTTATAATATTTCATAGTTTTTAACTTTTATGTCTTATATGCATGGAACTAATAGGTTGATGTTAGGAATTAGAAAGGTGTTGCTAAGGAGGTTAAAAGTATATCTAGTTATATAAGTCATATAAGTAAGAAGTTTATGATGAGAAAGGTTCTGGATGTTGGCAATTCAAAACTGGTATGAAATTGATTTCCTTTTGATTCATCTAATTTGGTCTTTTCAATTTTTGGAGCCACAATTACTTAATTTGAACCTTAGCTAGCTACAAGAGGAAATTGAAATAAGTAGAAACATAAATACTGCTTCTGTGTTTGGCACTTCTTAGCATGACTTCCCATTGTTGTTCATGAAATGTTAATGAATAATTTTTTTATCATTGTATTCAAATTTTATAGCAAGTTGGGTCTTGGGATTTTTTTTTTTTTTTTGCATTCATTATATATTAATGTGTTTTTGCCCCTTTTTTTTCTTTCAATTTCAGTAGGCTCCCTAAACAGGTTTAAAGTTTTGCTAGAATTTCTGCAAACGTTGTTTAGCCAAATGATATGTTGGCACAGGGAGAGACCAAGGCTTCACATTGTGAAGATTGACAGAACTACCAATCAAAAGGTTCTTTTTTAATATGCTTCATATTTCTTTGAAGAAATAGCCAAAGGAATTCTTTGGGAGAAAGAAAATCACATAAATTCACTTTCTGAGCTGATCATGTTGGCATTTCTTCTCAACTTTGATGAAGAAGCTATTAGGTTTTGAAGTTAAATAATTTGCAAGTTTTTGTGGAGGACAAGTTTCTGTCAGTAGCCTAGGCATGGTGAGTACAGCTGATATTCCTTGTGAGTGAGTAGGCATGGTGAGCACAGCTAATATTTGTTATGAGTGAGTAGGCATAGTGAGCACAGCTAATATTTCAACTTCTTCGCATTTGGCCATTTTAATCTTCATGCACACCTTTTTAATATTTATAATTAAATTTTTCCTTCAGGCATATGGAGTGTGGCTGGGTGAAGGATATGGTAGTTTGTAATATCAGGCTTATTTGGAAAAATTAGACTGTTACGAAGGAGATTTCATCCTCACAAGGATGATTACTATAGGAAGCATTCCGATTGCTCAGACCAATTGGGCACAGTTGCTTCCACTGTTGCCTGCTAGGGTGGTATATTACCATGACTATGTTTTATGGTCAAATTTGCTAGATTTTAATTCATACATGAAGAGGAATTGTCCTTGTCTCTGATACCGTAACACTACTCATGTTAATTTTCTTTCTTTGTAGCCTATTTAAGGATCATTCAGGTACGATTCCTATGCTTTGCTAAAGTTTGCTCTGATTTTTTTCTTATAAGAAAACAACTTTAATTCAACTTAATACAGTCTGGTAGTATAGCTCTACTTGTCAATTTCTACTTTTGAAAAGAAGATCTACTTTGACAAGTGAGCTTTATAAATGTATAGACACAATTTTGTACAACTTGGAACTCAACTTTTTCTTTTTTCATGATGCCGCATGTCCATATATTTTGATTTACTATAATGGAGACATCTGTTTTAAAAATCAGTTACATGTTAGGTAGTCTCTAGCATTGTCCATGACATCTAACATTAAAAAACTCATCTAGGAGAGTTAACTTCTTTTAACATTCAAGATAGATTGTGAGATGCAAGCTTTAGAAGAAGCTGAGGCTGAAAGAATGTCAATGATCAGATGGGCGACACCAGACGCTTCATGCTTGGAGGAGACAAATAAAATACAGTAGAAATTGACTTGAAGCAATTGAACAACTTCATCTTGTGTAGGTATGAATTTAAAATCTTGATTAAAAAGACCAGTTTAGTACTTTTTTAGAATATTCTTAAGCACGAAAATTAAGCATACAACAAAAGTTAGATATTTAAATTTCATAATTTGTTTAGTCGTCAATTAATTAATATGTAGAGGAATTGACCTTAACTAACGGGCCTAATGGTTCACCACCCAAGCCTAAACTGATAGGTTGGGAGTTCAACTCCTGCCTGTGGCTTGGAAACCTACAATTTCTCATGTTTGTAAAAATAATAATAATAATAATAGTAACGTGCAAGGATAATGTAATTGCTCACTTCTTGATTCAATTGCCACTGATGAAGTTCAAGGAAAAGAAAAGAGCCATAAGAAACAATCCTATCAGATGGATGCTATGCACATGGAGAAGATACATGCATGTTTACCTTCCCAAGTATGGTTTGGTATGTCAAGCTTTTCTATTGATCAACCTATTAGTAATTTTTGACATTGGAAAACCGATGTTTGGTTTAACTGATAGGTTTTAACTAACTAATGTAATAGGAATTAATTGGAATATGGATTCATTAATCTTGTATTTTGAGAGGTAAAAGCAATAGAATTAGAAGCAATCTCATTATTAGCTTTGGCTATTTTCATGATGAAGCAACTATCATTACAAAATAAGCAGCTACGAAAGCCTAATCATTGTAACATTCATCTTGAAAAGAAAACTCATATGACCTACGCTTCATAAAATTTGCATTCTTCATCAGCAGGGTTTGTCTTGTAGAAATCCTCCAAGGGATCAGCACTTCGTGCAGCAGGCATACTAGGCCACTTGCTTGCTACAAGATGTGCCTAATGAACTACCCTTTGGCTACATATATCCATCATATTCCTGTTAGTAACTGGTAAGGCACAAATAAGATTATAGTTGGAAACAAGAGGATTTTAAGGAATGTATCCTGACATGTAACCCCATTCATTGTCATACTAGGCTGGCACCTTAACCCTGTCATCTCCCATTACCATGGTTAATGAAGTGTCAATGGTAGAAGGAACATCGCTGCACCTGAAGTCCACTGACACAAAAGGAACATCATAGACGGTCAATATGCCTTTAATGGCTCCTCAACTGCCTTTCTAATGGCAGCATTGACATCCTCAAATGTAATACCCTTCTCAACATTCACAACAAGGCCAACAATTGAAACACTTGGTGTTGGTACCCGGAGTGCAATATTGTTGAGCTTGCCCTAGAGCTGGGATAGAACAAGATAGACGACCTTGGCTGCACCGATTCTTGTTGGGACTATGTTCAATGCTGCGGCCCTAGCTCTCCTCAAGTCACATTGTGGAGTGAGTGTCCAAGAGTCTCTGCGTGATCACAGATAGCAATTTAGCCTTCTTTATTCAAATAAATCTTTTTAACTTTTTTTGTTGGAATTCATTTGGAATTTAAAATTCTTTGAATTAGCTTAAGCTCTATATCCAAGTAGTATTTTGGTCGGTGCGAGTATCTGGTCTCCAATTTATTAATAGGTCATTGTCATTTTTCCCTTTGCAATTCTTGCATATCAATTTCAATGAAGTCAATGAAAATTCATAATTAAGGTTATGTGAAATTTGCTGAACTCCCTATGTGGTCCAATGGATGGATCACGTTACTCAGTAGTAAGTGGAGATCACCTAGTTTTGATTTTTATTGCTGACCTCTAACAGATACTAACTCTTAACAAATGTTTCTCTTGTCAAAAAAAAAAAAAAGAAGTTATGTGAAATTTGCCTAGTGATAATTAGTTGTTGAATAACAAATCAACAGAAATAGAAAGAAAATGTGAAAGGCTTCCTAAATATTTATTGGTCCTTAACCTTTAGTTTTCTTGAAAATTTATCCCAAACTTTAAAATTTTAACATTTGGTAATTAACCTTTTTCAATTGCAAAATCGTTCCTTTCATCATGGTCTTTTGGTTTAGTTAACTCTAACACAAATAAGAGGTTAGTTGAATAAATATACATTATTTATAAAACTTCAATTTGATATCAAAATAAAGGATTCAAACCTTTTTCACATTAAATAGCTAACATGAAACTTGAAAATTATTATTTTGAAACCTAACTTATTTGATCAGTTCAACCAACCAGTTGAATTGAAACTAATTCTAAAAAAAGGTCGAATTATGATATTAAGGCAGTTAATGTCAAACTTGGTCAAATTTAATTAAAACTCACCTAAACTTGTCCAAATCCAGTCAAAACCAGTTGAATCAAATTGATTCTACTTTTCTTTTTCTACATTTTTACCTTCTTTTTTTTTTCATTTTTCTTTAATTTTTATATTTATTTATTTAATAAATAATATAATAATTAAATTAAGGCAGTTAATGTCAAACTTGGTCAAATTTAAT